GGCAGCCTGACTGAGGTCCGAGGGTACAGGACTCCCAGGAAGGGTTCGATTGAGCCCCAGTTAGGGGGCTCCAGTGATTGGGGTGAACACTGTGTTGGCCTTGGTCACCCTCAGGAGGACTCCCCATACCCTGAAGTCTTCAACACTCGGAGCCTCACCCACATGCAAAGGGGATGGATCCATTCACGCTGGATCGCTGACCCACTAGGACTGGCCCCTGCCCTGCCTGCATGACCCCGAGAGGGAGCTCCCTTTGAGATCTGAGCCTTCCCCCTTCCAGGAGGCCTTGGCCAGAGTCCTACAGGCCCACCCTGCCTTTTCTCCTACGCCAAGGTGTCCAGCCCCTTCCCTGCGCTGCAGACCTGGGACTGGGAGGGCCCAGGGGCTGGCGGGCGTGTCCTCCAGGCGAGGGGTTGCAGGTGGGGGCACAGACCGGAGCCTGGCGCGGCCCGGGGGCGTGGCTGTCCCCGCCGGAGCCCGCGGCCTCACTCAGGCAGCCCAGGCGGGGCGGGCCCGCGGCCGGCCACGCCCGGCTCCCCGCCGGGGCGCTGCGGGGACAGACCCGCCGGCGCGCGTGGGTGGCGGTGGGCGAGGTGCCCAGCCCGGCCGTGACACGGAGGCCGGCAGAGCGGGGAGCGGAAAAAGTGAGTGGCGGCGGGCGGGCGGCCGCCTTACGGGAAGGCGGCGCGCAAAGTGCTGAGTGTCCGCTTCCACTTCTTATCTGGGCGCCGCGGCCGGGCTCTTCCGCCCCCTGCGCGCGCTTTTTTCTTTTTCTTTTTCTTTTTTTTTTTTTTTGTGTGTGTCGATAGGATCTCAGGCTATTTAAAACACAGGCAGCCGGAACCGGTTTGGCTCAGTGGATAGAGCGTCGGCCTGTGGACTGAAAGGTCCCGGGTTCGATTCCGGACAAGGGCATGTACCTTGGCCAGTGTTTGAATATGGGACAGCCCTCTGTTTCGGGATGTTAGTTTATATCTGCTCCTTGCCTGGATGTTCTTGTTGTGGTATTTTCCCTTGGAACCTACTGTGTTTTTCAGGCTCATGCTCACTGCAGACTTCCCAGCTGTGTCCCCTCGGATGTGTGACCTTGTCTAGCACCCTTACCTCTCCCTGGATGGGTGGTCCACCCCCACCACACCCGGGTAAGGGGGGTGGGAGGGAGGGTGCAAGAGGCAGCTGACCGATGATTCTCTATCCCTCTCTATTCCTCTCTGAAAAAAAAAATCAATAAAATATATATTAAAAAAATAAAACACATGCAAATTGTGTTAATCAATTAGATGTTTAGTTTTACTGCTGGCGGTTTTGATGCTCAAATGGTGTGTCTGGTCTTTTGCCAGGACCCCAGCTGGGATCCTTGCCCCTGGCTCTCTCCCACACACGCCCCCCCCACCCCCAATCCCGCAGTGTCATTGGCCCCCACAGTCCCAGCTGCTTCCGCTGCCCTCCTGCCCCCACCCAGCAGTCTGTGACCCCAGACCCAGACCCAGACCCAGCACACTGACCCTGAGTGAGGTTCATATTTTCGCCACCCAGTCACCCCAGGAGGTATTCCAAGGTGGGTCCATGGGTCCAAGGGCAAATGCTTCGTTAGCTGCCGGATGTCACCTGGGGCTCCTCCAGTTTGTGCTTCCACGGCCACGGCCACGCACGAGGCGCCTCCTGCGTCCTCGCCGGCAGCCCAGTCCCAGCTTTCAATTTGCCAGTTGGTAGGTGCAATGTAACCAGCACTCACTTTTCTTATGATGAGTAAAGTTGAACATGCTTTCATTGTTTAAGCAATGTACTCACAATACAATGTGTGCATGTTCGTGTGTATGAGTGTATGCTCCATGAGTCTGGGTGTGCCATGTGCACATATGCTGCGTGCATGTATGTACTGTCTAGTCACACTTCCGGCTCACCTTTCCATTGCTACTCTCTGTATTTCTTTCTTTCTTTTCTTTTCTTTTCTTTTTTTTTTTTTTTAAATATATTTTATTGATATTTTACAGAGAGGAAGGGAGAGAGATAGACAGCTAGAAACGTCAATGAGAGAGAAACATCGACCAGCTGCCTCTTGCACACCCCCTACCGGGGATGTGCCCACAACCAAGGTACATGCCCTTGACCGGAATCGAACCTGGGACCTTTTAGTCCGCAGACCGACGCTCTACCGCTGAGCCAAACCGGTTTTGGCTGCTCTCTGTATTTCTAAAAGTTCTCTGTGTGACATTACACATTCCTTCCCAGTTGGCCTGAGATAGTTCTGCTAGTGTGCTCTGTCTTCTCTTTCCTGGCGCCTTGATTCTGAGCCAGTGTGAAGAATAGTTCATCACGTGTGCTCCTGTCTTGTAGGGTTCCTCTCTCGCACTCACGTCCCTGCTGCTGGGTGATTTCTGTAAGTGAACGGCATAAGGTGTGTCTCCCTGGATGTGTTCCCAGCCAGCCGTATGGTCCCTACGCTACTCATCAAAAAGTCTGCCTTCTGCCCTGGTCCCATTCATTCCTGTCTCTTCATGAGCCAATCCCACTGCTTTAATTGGGGTGAGTTTAGACTTGACAAAGCCAGTCTTTCAATTTCTCTTCACGGCTTTCTCGGCTGTTACGCGTTCATTTTTCCACCCGAATTTTACAGGTCAGACATGTGGGTTTCCGTTGGGATCCTGTTAAATTTATAAATTCACGCAGGAAGAGCTGACACCTCTGTGATGTCTCGTCATCCTGACCAGGGTGCGTGTTCCTGTCAGGCCCACACCCAGCTCTCCCACTGGTTTGCACATTTCTTGATAAATTTATGCCGCAGGCATTTTGTCGTCTTTGTTCCGTTGTAGACGGAACACTCTCACGTTTTCTGCTAACAGTTAACAGCTAACTGGTCAGTGTTTGAATATGGGACAGCCCTCTATTTCGGGATGTTAGTTTATATCTGCTCCTTGCCTGGATGTTCTTGTTGTGGTATTTTCCCTTGGAACCTACTGTGTTTTTCAGGCTCATGCTCACTGCAGACTTTCCACTGGGTCCCCTCGGATGTGTGACCTTGTCTAGCACCCTTACCTCTCCCTGGATGGGTGGCTCCACCTCCCACCACACCCAGGACAGGACTCCAGGGCGCCAGGCACAGGCTGTGAGCTCAGAGGGCTGGGGGAGTGGCGGGCCTGGTTGGGGCTCACAGGAGGGGGCAGGTTGGGGCATCTGTCATTGCAGTCAGGGGACTGGCACGGGGGTGTCCTGTCCCTTCTGGAGGACGGGCCAGGCATTCTGTTTGCAGGCTGCACCCTGAGCCTGCTTGCTGATAGCCTGCTGCAGCCCACCCACTGGTTGGCGTGGCCCCAGCCTGCCGCACTGCCCCTGCCCAGGAGGGACCCCAAGGTGTGGGGGACTCATGAGGGCTACAGCAGGGCAGATATAGGCACCATCTCTCAGGGATTGTCCTGTGCCAGATTGAGGTGGTCTGGGGCCAGGGTGCCGTGGGACCTTGGGGTGTGAAGCCCAGAAAGGGCTTCTGGGGGATGGTGCCCAGCAGCTCCCTACAGTCAGAGGCTGTGTGAGTGTGGGAGGGGCCACAGGAGCAGAGATGAGGCCTCAGGAGCCACAGGAGCAGAGATGAGGCCTCAGGGGGCTTGAATAGTGGCATTGAGGCTAGACCCCTCCATCTGCCTGGCACCAGCAGGGTTTCCCCCTCCCCCCATGACCGTATGAGCAGGACAGAACTGGGGGCCTTTCTTTGAGCTTCTGTCATTATTTAATTACTAGTGGCCTGGTGCACAAAATTCATGCATAGTTGCAGGAGTGGGAGGGGGGTTCCTCAGCCTGGCCTACACCCTCTCCAATCTGGGATCCCTCAAAGGATGTCCTACTGCCGGTTTACAGGGATCGGGCCTAAACCGGCAGTCAGACACCCCTCTCACAATCCAGGACTGCTAGCTCCAGCCGTTCACCTGCCTGCCTGCCTGCCTGCCTGATTGCCTCTAACCACTCGGCCTGCTGTCCTGCTCGCCCCCAAATGCCCCCCCCCCCCCAGCCTGCTCACCCCCAACTGCCTCCCCTGCTGGCCTGCTCACCCCTAATGGCCCCTGTTATCTCACCCTGGCCTGATCACCCCCCTGCAACCCAAGGTCCCAGCCCCTCCTTTTATTTCTTTTTTTTTTTCAATGCCTCCTTGAGCAGAGGCCAGGGCTGGCTGGAAGCAAGTATCTGGGATTTATTTATCTTCGATAATTGAAACTTTGTAGGGCCAGCCAGGACAGGTGGGAAGCTTGGCTTCCTCCTTTGCCGGGACAACCCAAGCCTCCTGCTTGCTCCAGCTCCATGGCTGGCTGCCATCTTGGTTGGGTTAATTTGCATACTCACTCCTGATTGGCTGGGGGGCATGGCTTGTGGGCGTAGCGGAGTGATGGTTAATTTGACATTTCTCTTTTATTAGTGTAGATAATAAAATAGAAAGGGAAGGGCCTCTCAGTGTGTATGAGCCCACGAAGAACATGCTTCTGAGCCCCCACACGGGGTGCCCACAGAGCACTCTGCTGGACAGCTGACGCCCTGTGTGTGCTGGGTGAGGAGTGTAGGCCTGGCTGGAGGGTGCCCACCCAGCACCCCAGGCAGGAGCCCCCAGGGCGCCTTTAAATAGCACCGTGAATGGGCGCCATGGAGGAGGCCTCTCCAGGGAGCTGCCCACCTGGGTGGCCAGGGACTCTTCTCCAGGCCTGGGGAGAGCCAGGCTCTTGCACGTCCCTCTGTGCCCCTCAGGGGCGTGCTGGATTTCCTCGCTCTGGAGGCACCTCACTGGCCGCCCAAGACAGTCTCCAACCGGAAGCCCCTCTGACACCCAGGGCCGGCGTGCAGGAGGCCCAGAGCCGCAGTTCCGGACAGCAGGTCTGCGCCTGGAGCCCTGGGCCAGTCTCCTCTCCTCGCCCAGAAGGGACAGTGGTCTCTCCTGTGCCCAGGTCCCCTAAGGTTTAGGGGGAGAGTGGCCACCCCGTTATCGCAGGGTCTGAAGGCCTTGGGCCGGCGAAGAGCCGTCAGAGCGGCCAAGAGCAGTGTCCGTCCTCAAGTCGCAGAGACGGGGGCGCCTGCGGGCTGTCGGCAGAGGCCCTGCGGGGAGAGCCGGGCCTGCTGGGGAAGACGATGGTGGCGTACTCTGTCTGCTCAGGCACACAGGGGATGGGGGGCTCCGGGGTCTTCTCCCGCCACTGGAAGTCCAGCTCTCCATAGTCCACAGTTGACACAGGCCCTGCAGAGGGGCCCTCCTTCTTAGGGGAGAAGGAGAAAGGAGTCAGCACTCTCTCATGTGTGTGCCTGCGCAGACAGAGTACGCCTGAACACACACACACACACACACACACACACACACACACACACGTGTGAACGCAGACCCACACGTGCGTATACACCTGCGCTTGGGCTTGGGTCCCCATGTTCAAACAAGGTGACATGGTTGGGAATGGGTGTGGCTGTCCCTGAGGCCACTCATCTGTGGTGTTGCCCGTCTATCCCTCCTCCCACCTCCCTTCCTGAAATGTCCCAGCATCACCAGAAGGCGAAGGAAACTCACCTGAGGCTGGTCCTCCCTCCGGCAGGCACAGCCCCCTGCAGAGAGACACGGAGTCAGGCCAGGGGCCCCGGCAGGCTGGGGCTCAGCAGGCAGTGGGGCGGGAAGACCTCCCTAAGCCTTCCGGCGTGGGTGGCCAAGCTTCCCCCCTGCCTGCTCCCACCCCCAGGCAGCCACCCGAGCCCCTGCTCCTCTCCGAGGGTCTGCCTGGAAGTGAGCTGCTGGGTGTGAGGCCACATAGCACCGCCTGTCTTCCAGGCGCAGTGCTCCTGTGGGTTGCAAACCTGGCCGAGCCCGGTGCCCACTGCAGGCCACCAAGCACACAGCAGACACAGCCGGCGGTGCTATGGCAGCATTGCCCTGACTGATGTGCACACGCACCACCAGGGGCCACGCCCAGGGCACACAGCACATCTCAAAACTACCTGAAGGGGCCTGGCGGGCACGCCCAGTGGCTGAGCCCACTGAACCCAGGGGTCCCCGGTTCCAGGTCGTGTGCTCAGTCCCCAGCAGGGGGCGTGCAGGAGGCGGCTGTGTTCCTCTGTCATCTATGTTGCTATCTTCTCTCCCTCTCCCTTCCTCTCTCTCTAAAAAAAAAAAAATCAATAAGGCCGAAGCTGGTTTGGTTCAGTGGTAGGGCATCGGTCTGCGGACTGAAAGGTCCCAGGTTCGATTCTGGTCAGGGGCATGTACGTTGGTTGCGGGCACATCCCCAGTAGGGGGTGTGCAAGAGGCAGCTGGTCGATGTGTCTCTCTCATCGACGTTCCTGGCTCTCTATTTCTCTCCCTTCCTCTCTGTAAAAAAAAAAAAAAAAAAAATCAATAAAATATATTTTAAAAAATAATACATGCATATAAGTACAACCAATGGACACAAAACTCTGGGGAGGGAGGGTATGTATGGGAGGGGGGGGCAATGTTAAAATATGTCCACAGATAATTTAATTAAAAAATGTAAAAAAAAAAAAAAAAAAAAAAAAAGAAAGAAAAAAGAAAAAGAAGAAAAAAATATATATTAAAAAAATTAAAATAAAAAAATCAATAAGAACATATTTAAAAAAAAAAAATCTGGAGGCGGAAAATGTGATCCTGAGAGATGAACCTAAGCCCCGGGGGGAGGGCATGGAGGCCGGGGCTGCCCTTGTCAGCCAGGGCGGGCGGGCAGGAGGCACAGAGCCCAGTTCAGGTCAGCGACCGCGTCCGGAGCCTGGGCCAGTCTCTCCTCACCCCGCAGGGACGGCGGTCTCTCCTGCACCCAGGTCCGGCCAGGGGTAAGAGGAGAGCCGGGCAGGGCTGACATGGTGCAGGGTGTGATTCCTGCACGCTCAGCCCTGGGTGGCCACCCGGCTATTGCCGGGTCTGAAGGCCATGGGCCGGCCAGGAGCCGTCAGAGGGGCCGAGAGCAGTGTCGGTCCTCGAGTGGGAATCCTGCTGTTGCCACCCATGGTGCCCGTCCTAGGAGAGTGTGACCGGAGCCCGCGCAGGGGCAGACCTAGCCCTGGGCTAGGCCCCCTCTAGGAAGTGGCCCTTTTTCCGGCCCCAGAGGTGTCCACCCGTCGTCAGAGTGACTGAGGTTGGCAGCCCGTGACCACCCCCATCCTGGGGGGCGGGGAGGAGGCTGCGGCTGTCACCACAGGCCCCAGCGGCTGGTAGAAGCACCGTCACAGTGGCTTGTGGCCTGAGATGTGGCCTGAGGCTTGAGGGCAGCCTTGGGCAGCCACACAGGGGCCTCAGCCTGGGGGCCTCTCGTTGTCTCCTGTGTGACCTGGGCAGCTGCCTGCCCCTCAGACCCCTCCTGAGGGCCTGGCCGGGGGGTCCCAGGACAGGCCGCGGCAGTGCCTCGGGCTCCACCTGGCTGGGACGGCAGGGCGGCTGGCTGGGGCGTTACCTCGAGTGGCCAGGACCCAGGTCAGCAGCAGAAGCAGCAGGACGCCCACCAGGACGCTTGTGACACCGATGACCAGGCCCTGTAGCTGGCCGGCGGGCCTGGGTGGGGGGCTGGGGCTCTCGGTGGGCAGTTCCGGGACTCTCTCTGCAGACACAGAGGACAGACACTGAGGCGTGGGGACACAGGACTTCGGGTCCTACCCTGCCCGCTTCAAGTCCGAGGGGACTCAATCCTAGGCTTGCACTGGCCAGCCTCACCCAGGCCTGCACAGCCTCTTTCTGAGGTGCAGCCAGAGCGGGACAAATGGGGTCTGAGGTGCTTCCAAGCACAGAGGCCCGAAGCCACCGGGCACGGTGGTCCTGGGTGCGGGACAGAGTCCGGGGAGAAGCGAGGGGAACCCGTGCTCACTATGCCTAACAGGCCCTCCCGGCCCGTCTGCACCCTCAGGCCCACCCTCGGGTCCCGCCCTGCACCTGTCACGGTGAGCTCTGCTGGGGGGCTCTCGTGGATGTGCGTCTTGGGGCGCAGGTAGATGGCCCCGCAGAGGTAGGTGCCGCTGTCGTTGCGCTGGGCAGTGAGGATGCTCATCATGAATTCCCTCCTGTTGGGCAGCCGGGTGATGCGGAAGCGCTGGTCCCCGCGGACCTCCTGCCCCCTGTCCTCGGGGTAGGCGGCCAGCTTGTCCGTCTGGTTGCTGGGGCTCATGCGGTACATGTTGAGCACGAAGCCCTCGCACGTGTGGGAGAAGCTGCAGGTGAAGGTGGCCGTCGCCCCCTCGGCCACCGTGAGCTGACGTGGCTGGAAGTCGATGGGGCAGGACCTGTCGGGCGTCTCTGGGGGGGAACCAGCGGGACTTGAGGAAGGCATGTCCCACCGAGACCCACCTCCCACTGTCCCACCTCCCGCCAGACAGGAAGGTCCCGGGAAGCCCAGCCTCGCAGCTTCCCCTTGCAGGCCTCCTGGGGACGGGGTGCTCGCCTCTCGCCAGGGACCGTGTCCATTGATGGAGATCTGGGCTGGGCTGCCTCTGGCTCCGACCCCGGCCCCCCATCCTTTTCCTTCCCGAGCAGTGGCTTAGGGCCTTCCCCCCTCCCTCCTGCACTCAGGCCCCAGGTCTCTGAGCTGCCTGCACTGTGCAGGGGTGGGGGGGTAAAGAGGGGGCGGCCTGGGTGCCGGGCGGGGCTGACGAGGACCGCCATGGGAAGCCCAGCTCCAGGGAGCTCAGGCGCCAGCCTTTCCCCCGTTTCAGGACAAGCTCAGAGCAAGGACCCCGCATGAGCACTGCTGACCTGGGCCGTGTGGGGCCCCAGGTCCCCTCCCAAGGCTCTGGGAACGCAGTGCAGCTGGGCCATCGCCCCTGAGATGGATGGAAATAGTCCCAACACCCTGGCTCCAGCCCGCACTCCCCGAACAAGGGAGCGCCGGCAGGCGGGGCCCACACAGGAGGGCCACTCGGCTCTCCGGCGCGAGAATGAGCACGCGTGCTAGGTGGTGCCCTCCCACCCTCCCATGCATTCACGCTCACGGCCACACGTCCGCTTTCTACTCGGCTCCATCCTGAACGGGAATACCTGCTGGGTGTGGCTCCCCACACTCCCTGACACTGGCCCCGGGCTGGCTGCTTCAGCCCCCCCCTCCCCCCCAAAACCTGCCCAGTGAGCCTGCGTGGCTCGGAGGAGGATGGGATGGTGCTGGGACCAGCTCCCCTTCAACCTGGGCCACTTCAGGGCACGTGTGACCAGGACACCCTCTGCCCGTCCCCACTGGGCACCTCACAAGGGTCAAAATCACAGCTATTCAGAGACCAGGTGGAAAGTGGCCTCCTGCCATGTCCCTTCCCCGGCACCTCTCCTGGCCATCAGTGCCTGGTCAAGATGGGCACATGGCCAGTCTCGGGCATGCAGGTGCTGTCCCTATGACCCCGTCAAGTGCCAGCTGGACGTGAGCCAGGGGAGCGTGCGGCCGTGAGCGCGAATGCATGTGAGGGAGGGAGAGCGTGACCTAGCACGTGGGCTCATTAGCGTGTCCGAGAGCCGCGAGCCGCCTCCTGTGTGGGCGGCCCAGAAGCGAGACACCTGCACATCCTGTTCCGGGGAGCGGGGGTCCCCCGGGCCCCATGGAGGGGCAGCTCGGGGGAGGGCATGTCCCACTGGCTGGGAGGGGCCTGGGTGTGAGGGAGGCCAGGGGCTGGAGAAGGGCAGTCTGGACTGGGGATGGCTGTGGCAGGTGGGGTCCTCTAGGGGGTGACACCAACACTGATGGAGACACAGCCCCTCCCTCATTCTTTTTTTTTTTTTTTTTTTTAATATATTTTATTGATTTTTTACAGAGAGGAAGGGAGAGGGACAGAGAGCCAGAAACGTCGATGAGAGAGAAACATCGACCAGCTGCCTCTTGCACACCCCCTACCAGGGATGTGCCCGCAACCAAGGTACATGCCCTTGACCGGAATCGAACCTGGGACCTTTCAGTCCGCAGACAGACGCTCTACCACTGAGCCAAACCGGCTTCGGCCCCTCCCTCATTCTTGATTGTGTCCTACGCTCTCTGCATGCCAGCCAGCCCCGTTCCCCTGGGCAGCACTATCGCCCACCTGCTTCCCACATTGATTTGGGAAGCAAGTCTCTCTCTCTCTCTCTCTCTCTCTCTCTCTCTCTCTCTCTCTCTCTTTCATTACTGGGCCTTCTCCTACACTAATTACGGTTTGATCTTAGATGATTTAAAGTAGAATACATGTATTGTCTACCTTTGGTTTCCTTTTCAGGAGAGAAAAAAAAACGAGAAAAGGCTTCGCGAAAGAGGTAATACGGTGCCTTGTGGTGAGGGGTGTTGGTGTGAAAGAAAGTGATTGGAGCTGTCAGACTGACGAGACGCTGTGACAGAAACAGTGCGGTGGCCGAGGACAGACCTGGCCCAGGAAAGCCGGAAAGGCACACGGATCTGGGACGGAGAATTCGGGAGGAACAGGAGTGCGATTGCCTCCCGCTGGCGGGGCAGAGTCTCCAGCGGCTCAGGGGAGTCCGGACTCCTGCCTGCGTGAAGTCAGCACCCGCTCGCGTTCTAAACAGGACGTGGCGGGCCGGCGGCGGCGAGCGGCACTTTGGCCCCGGCCGCAGCTCTCCCGGCCTCCCCAGCGCCTCTCCTCTTGGCCGACCAAGGAAGACGGCTCTGAGGGCAAGGCCCGCGTGACGAAAGAAAGCCCCCAGCTAGGGTTTCTAAAGAGACGCGTGGAGCAGAGCCACCCAGCTAGCCCCCACCATTCGGCACTGTCAGCTAAGCAAGAAATGCAAAGTTTGAATGTTGCACATCAGTCATTACAGTTCTCTAGCGAGTAACTGCTGCGGTGGGGACAGAAGGCAGAGCTCCTCTGTCGGGAAGCAGTTGGTTCTCAACCTTCCTAACGCCACGGCCCTTCAACGCCATTCCTCGTGTTGTGGTGACCGCCCAACCGTAAAATTGCTTTCGTGGCTACTTCATAACTGTAACTTTGCTACTGTTATGAATCGTGACGTAAACATCTGTGTTTCCCGATGGTCTTAGGCGACCCCTGGGAAAGGGGGCGAGACCCACCAACAGGCTGAGAACCGCTGCTGTGGAGCCTGAGACCACACCACGAGGAACTGTATGAAGGGTCGTGGCATTAGGAAAATTGAGGACCACTGCTTTATTTATTTTAAAAATATATATTTTATTGATTTTTTTTTTTTTTTTTACAGAGAGGAAGGGAGGGGGATAGAGAGTTAGAACATCAATGAGAGAGAAACATCGACCAGCTGCCTCCTGCACACCCCCCACTGGGGATGTGCCCGCAACCAATGTACATGCCCTTGACCAGAATTGAACCTGGGACCCTTCAGTCTGCAGGCTGACGCTCTGTCTACGGAGCCAAACCGGCCATGGCAAGAACCACGGCTTTAAAGGAAGCGTCCTGGAAGTGACAGTTCAAGGCGGGCAAAGACTCCGCGAAGTCACTGGTGACCCTGCAGCACCAGAGCGCAGGGCTGGTTCCGTGGGCCACCACCGCGTCCCTGCCACTGTCCACTGCAGCCAGCCGCGTCTCCCCTCACAAACGCCCAGGGTGGCCCGTCTGGATGGCACCATCCTAAGTCGCTGTCCAACCCTTTCCCAGATCCATGCCTCCACCTGGGTCCAACTGGCCAGGGCCTCCACACGGACCCCCTCTCACGGCCATGGCCCCCCGAGAAGCTCCCCCGTGAGCCACGCGGGGCACGGAGCCGCGCGCCTCCCGCCCGGCCCCTCCAGCAGGCTTTCCCACGGCGCCCGGCGTGGACACTGCTGACCGGTCCCGGGACACCGTCCTCGCTGTGTGTGGAGCGGGGAGCCCTGTGTCTCTGCGGTTTTGGATCTCATCTGCCCCACCCCTGACCTTAGTTTGTTATCAATTGAGTCTCTTTTCTGTTGGCTCTTTGTGGCGTGAAAGAGAATAAATTCTCTGTTCTCACGGAACCTGACCGGACGAGGCGGGTCCCGGTCCCACTGCCCCCGAGCGTCTTTGTTCATCACAAAGGAGAGGCTCTTGCCTTCCCCTCTTTTGCTGGGGGCCCAGAGAGAAGGTGACCCCGGTGGGGTCCCCGCTGGCTGCCCTAAGCAGGACCTGTGATCTCACAGGACCAATCATCAGACACACCCAGGTGGAGCCTTCGAGAATGCCAGGGCTGCCAACAGAAGCAAAAATAGACAAGTGGGGCCACAGCAAGCTACAAAGCTGCTGCACAGCAAAGAATGAAGAGAGATTTGAAATATCTGTAAATCCTACAGTGGATAAGGGGTTAATATATAAAATACACTAAAACACCCATAGACCTCAAAAGCAAAAACACCCCCACCAACAACCTGATTACAAAACGGACAAAGCCCCTCCACAGGCATTTTTCAAGGAGGACATACAGATGGCCGACAGACCGATGAAAAGACGCTCTTCCTCGTTAATCATCAGGGCACTGCGAGCCACCACCTCGTGCCTGTGAGGACGGCTGTTTTCGGTAAAGCGGCAGGCAGGTGCTGGCGAGGCCGCTGAGAAAGGAAGCCCTGGAGCCTGCTGATGGGAATGGGCACTGGTGCAGCCACTTGGGAAACCAGGATAGAGTCTCCTCAGAAACTTAAGCATGGAATCACCATAGGATCCCGCAAGTCCACGTCTGGTATGGATCTGAAGAAACCCAGACACTCACAGAAAAGATAGGTGCCCCCCACGTTCACTGGAGCCTTATTCACGGTGACCAAGCTACGGACGCGACCTAAGTGCCCACTGATAGACGGGATAGAGGGGCGATTAGAAAAGAGGTGTGCTTACATACAATGGGATGTTACTCAGCAACGACAAAGAAGAATAAAATCTTACCATTTCGAGAACCTGGATAGACCTTGAGGGCATTATGCTAAGAGAAATAAGACAGACTGACAAAGACAAATACCATATAACCTCACTGTATGTGTGGAATGTAAAACAAAAACAAACAAAACAGAAATCGAGCTCCTGGATGCGGAGAACGGACAGGTGGTTGCCAGAGGGAGGGAGGGAGGGAGGGGTGGTGAGTGAAGTGGGGGGTCAAGGGATAGAAACGTCCAGCTATAAGAGGAATAGGTCTTGGGACATGGCAACTGCACTTCATAATATTCAACCGTCAGCCCTTCCCGTCCGTGGGCTTTGCATCCATGGACTCAATTAATCTCGGATCAGAATATTCGAAAGAACCAAAAACCCCAGAACATTCCAACATGAAAAATTTGAATTTGCCACGTGCTAATGTGCCTGGAGCACCCGCCGATGTTATACGCAGAGGCCACATCGTTTTCTATGAGGGCCCTGAGCATCCTTGGGTCTCAGTAAATGGCCCCCCAACACCGAGGGCTGGCTGTAGTTGTTTATTTAAATGTCATCTCTTCTCATGGCCAGAACTTGCAAAATGGCTGTGGTAGGTACATTTGACCACAGATATGTGGTTGTTGTTTATCTTTTCCCTCACAAAGAATTAAAGACAAAACAAACAAACAAACAAACAAAAACACGCCTAGAATGAGCACATTAGTCATACGAGATGTCATATAAAAACTTGAATTTCTGAATTAGACTTACAAGTCCAGGAAGCGCACAGAACTCCAAACAAAAGGAATTCAAAGAAGACCACACCAAGACAAATCATAATTAAAATTCCAAGAGCAAAAGACAAAGAGAGAAATTAAAAGCAGCAAGAGCAAAGAAGGTAGTTACCTATAAAGATGCACCTAACGATTGTCAGCTGATTTCTCAACAGAAACCATGCAGGCCAGACGGGAATGGCAAGAAATATTCAAGGTGATGAATACTAAGAACCTACAGCCAAAGATAATCTATCCAGCAAAGCTATCACTCAGAATCGAAGGCCAGATAAAGAGCTTCACTAATAAAAAAAAAAGCTAAAGGAAAATTATATGAATTGCTGAAGGGGGTTCTTTTGGAAGAGAAAGTAAATAAAGATAAAAGTTATGAACAACAAATACGTAACTATCAACAAGTGAATCTAAAAACCAAGGAAATTAAAAAAAACAAACCTGATGAACAATAGTAACTGTTGAATATAATAGAATCAGAGGTATGGAAGGGGAGTGAACTGACGATTCTTGGGGAAAAGGGGAGATGGGGATGTGGGAAGAGACTGAACATAAACTGTGCACCTATGGATGAGGACAATGGGGAGTGGGGAAAGGGCAGAGGGTGGGGTGGGAACCTGGTGGAGGAGAGCAATGGTGGGGGGGGAAAGAGGAACATTTGTAATAATATGAACAATAAACATTTATTTTTTTTAAAAAAGGCAACCATTTAACATAAAAACAAACAAACTTGAATTTCTGACCTCTCCTTAAATGTCAAGAACAGACCCAGAGATAAGGAGCCATGAGTCAGACTGTTGGACCTCAGAGGGAGGGTGGAGATAAAAGGAAGAGATCAACCAAAGGACTTGTGTGCATACAGATGAGCCTAACCAGTGGTCAAGGACAATAGGGAGGTTGGGGCCTGAGTGGGGAGGGGTGGGGGATTGGAATGGGGGGTTGAGAACAAATATGTGATATCTTAATCAATAAATAAATTAAAAAATAAAAATTAAAAAAAGTCAGAAAATCTGGTGCCAGGTCCTGCGTCTGGAGCCGAGTCGGGGCTGCCCCTTCCATGAGAGCGGCACTTGCCCGGACACCCAGTCCCCACTCAACAGTTGGCCCATCTCTGACGCCTTTTTCTGCTCTTGGAAACGTTGAGACGGGGTAGGAAAATGTGATGGTGTGTGTATTAGGTGTGAGTCAGTAATTACTGAGTGCTCCAGGGAGTGGCCGAGAGGAAAGGAAAGAACACAAGAGAGGATGTTCAAGCTTTAGTGACAATCCCCTCGGCGAAGGGGCCAGGGGAGCGATGATGTCCTGGCAGGCACGGCTGCAGTGAGTTTAAGTTTCAACCCAATTCCTGCCCAACACCACAGGTTCATGGTCTGACAGAGACCTGGACCTCAGCGTTTACAATCTATTACTTTCTTGTTCAGTCTCAGTGCACATAAGTAGGTTCAGAATTGCTACCTCACGTCTTGGCAGGAAGCACCTTTACTAACGAGACTGTAGGACATCTGTGCAAGGCAAGGGGCTTGGCCAGCATTCCCGGGCATCCTGGAAGCCATGCCCGCGGACACTGAGGCACAGCCCTGCACGTGTGAAAGCAGCCACGAGAGTGGAGCGCAAAGGTTTTCACGACAAGAAAAAAGAATTCTGCCCTATCCGGTTTGGCTCAGTGGATAGAGCGTCGGCCTGCGGACTGAAGGGTCCCAGGTTCGATTCCGGTCAAGGGCATGTACCTTGGATGCGGGCACATCCCCAGTAGAGGGGGTGCAGGAGGCAACTGATTGATGTTTCTCTTTCATCAATGTTCCTAACTCTCTATCCCTCTCCCTTCCTCTCTGTAAAAAATCAGTAAAATATATTGAAAAACAAAAAAGAAAAAAAGAATTGTGTAACTGTGTTTGGTGGGCGCTGCTAACCAGGCTCATCACTTCGCAATGTGGACAGATACGGGACCGTTACATCAGGCACCAGGAACTAATGCGTTCCCAGTTCTAAGGCTTCCCACGTGTGAAACAAAATCCGAGATTTGAATTTTAAAAGAAAAAGAGCCCCAGGGCCTGCAGAGACGAGACAGAGGGAGCCGAGGGCCGTGACTGCCAAACAAGCAGCCAGCGGTGGGCGTGGGGACATCGGAATGGGGACTCTCAGAGCCACCGTGCCGGGAGGCGGGAGGTCTGCAGCATGATCAGAGCCACCAACCTCCGTGGCCCCGCCCAAACCTCGGCAACACGCACAGGTGGGACGTGGGCCCAGATCAGCACGCCCAGGCCTGACCCAGCCCCTCAGGGTGGCCCTTGGGAACGGGTGGCTGCACGTGTAATTGTTCACAATGAGGCCCAGAGTGGCCCCCATTCAACATGACCATGACCTTGTAAGAAGAGGGACATCTGGACAGACGCAGAGCGGAGGGACCATGGGGAGACAGAGGCAGAGATGGGGTGTTGACGGCCACCACCAGGAGCTGGAGAGGCCTGGCCTCTCGATGGTCCACCGGCCGCCGGCCGACACCTGGATCCCGGCTTCCAGCCTCCGCGTGATGGGACCATGAGCTTCTGTGGGTGGCGTTGGCCGCGGCCGCCGATACACACGGCGGGTGTGCCAGTGTTATCAGCTGGCAGCGCTGGGGGAAGGGCGCTCGCTGCTGTGTGTTGTAACTATTCTGTAAGTTTTAAATATTTTTCAAAACTGTAATTTGGGAAAATAAACACAATCATCTGGCTTAATGACCTGTGTCACGGTCTGTGCCAGGCAGTTTTTATAAGTGATCGGATTGAATTCTCAGGGCCCTCCGGGGGCAGGCATGATTGTTCCCAAATTGCAGGCTCACACCTTGGCTTCAGAGGGCACGTGGCTCGCCCGAGGTGAGGACGCTCGCGGACGAGGGCCCCTGTGTGACTCCTGTCACCCTCCTTTCTCTCCTGCACCCGCACCGGGTGGGCGGGGTCCTACTGCTGGGTTTGGAACAGTTCATACAGCGCAGGGGGAACATGTGCACAGGAGGGGGCTTCCATGGGAATGACTGAAACCACACACGCAGGGAACGCGGCAGGAAGGGAGAAGGCGGCATGGAACAGAGTCCCCGTGGCTGGGAGCGCCCGGGTCTGAGCCGGAGCAGGAGCAGGAGCCCACGGCGTGTGGCACGGCAGAGCTGTGCTACGTGCGGAGCCGGGGGCACACCGGGGGAAACTGAGGCACTCTGTGTCTGAACATCCTGCCTGAAACCCAAGGGTTGGCTGCGGAACCTTATCCTCACCTCTCCCTGCTTTGGGAAGGGGTCCTGCTGAGGACCGGGCCACGGGGCAGTCACAGCCCCTTTGGTGCCCCAGGTCTTCCTCCCGGATGGCGCACGCCCCTTCTGCTCCCGTGCCTGGGCTCCCCCGAGGCCCTTCACTGGGCACCCTTCACCGGGCACCCTTCACCGGGCACCTTTCACCGGCACCCTTCACCGGGCACCTTTCACCGGGCACCTTTCACCGGCACCCTTCACCGGGCACCCTTCACCAGGCACCTTCACCGGGCACCTTTCACCGGCACCCTTCACCGGGCACCCTTCACCGGCACCCTTCACTGGGCACCTTTCACCGGGCACCTTTCACCGGGCACCCTTCACCGGGCACCTTTCACCGGGCACCTTTCACCGGCACCCTTCACCGGGCACCTTTCACCGGGCACCTTTCACCGGCACCCTTCACCGGGCACCTTTCACCGGGCACCTTTCGGCCACGGGCCCTGGGACCACTTTGAGCTTCTGCCCTGGCCCCGAGGTCTTCTGGGAGGGCGAGGCCTGCCCGTCCTAGGAAAAGGCCTGCCCATCCCCCTCAAGCAGAGCCTGGAGGGGCTGAGTGACCGAGAGCCCTTGGCCCTAGGACGCCCAGGTGTCCGGAAACCCCCACCTCGTCTTGGTCCTTCCAGGGCCCTCGGTCCCCACCCCAGCGAGGTCCAGAGGAAAGGCCCCAGCCCGGGTGGGCACCCACCTTCCCCGGTTCGCACCCGTGCGGTGCCGGCTGAGGACGGGGCAGCCAGGCACGGGTTTGGGGCTCCGACCCGCCCGGCCTGGTCATCCCACAGCAAGGGGCACAGGCTTGCCATCCCACCGGTCACAGAGGAAGGCCCGGATGCTCCTGCCTGCTCAGGTGAGCCCAGAGAGGGCACTTCCCTCGCCCAAAGCCACACAGCACTCTGCCACTCAGCCTCCTCCGCACCTGCCCGAGACGGAGGGCCCGTACCCACCCCGACCCCGATGCCCAACTGCGATCCACTCACCCAGGAGCCATCCTGGCCGCCAGCCCAGCTGCAGCACCGCCCAGAGGAGCGGCCAGGGCACCCACGGGGCCCCCATGCCCCTGCACCGCCGCCCTCTGCTCTGGCGGAGTGATGAGGAAAGGAAACAGTTTCCCTGGGGTTGAAGTACACGCCCCGCCCCCTCTTCCTCCTCCTCCACACGGGCAGGGGGAGGGCTGGGGGGTGGAGAGGTGGAGAGAGAGAGAGAGAGAGAGAGAGAGAGAGAGAGAGAGAGGTGTGAGAGAGTAGGGGATAGGGAAGGCGGTGGGAGGGAGAAAGACAGAGACGGAGACGCAGAGAGAGATGGAGAGGAAGGAGAGGGAGACAGACGGGGGAGGAGGAAGGGAGGTGTCTAGGTACCTCTCCCCATCAGGGTCCCTCTGTCGAGGGTAAATTTTGCGTCTTTATCTGGGGTTGCCTCTTTCCCTCTCCGTAGGACGGGGGGGATGTCCTCCCCTCCCCAGCCATCCTTCTGAAGTGGGTCACCCTCTCCAGCCGAGCTCCGAAGGCAGCAGTGGAGGGTGGGCTCGGCCCCACGCCCACAGCCCCTCTGCCTCCTCTGAGGCCTCGTGTTTGAACTCACCAACTCTGCCCCTGCTGGGGGCCGCGGCCCAGGGCCCGGCCAGACCTCTGCTGCCCTCCCCCGCCCGCAGCCACCCCTCTGGGCAGTGGACAGCGGGCGGCCAGGGGCTTGTCTGGCCCTCCTGATCCTGGAGAGCCTTCGCCCTCCCCGGCTGCAAGGCCTCCGACAGGGGCAGCTGAGGTCTGCCTGACCCTGCTTAGGTCAGGGCGTTTCTGCCAGGCCCCCCTGCGGCCCTGACCATGTCCTCCCCCTCATCCTCCCCACGGCCCCGGCAGCCCTGCTGCCAGCCCTACTGAGGGCCATTGGCTGCCTAGCACCCCCTCAGCTCCGGGGTTCAGAAGCCCCAAGCCAGGCTGGAGAGGCCCCCTTTCCAGATCTTTCCACCGTCAGCGGCCTCCGGACAGCGTGCGGGGTCCAGGGCTCCGCCTGTGAGGCCCACCTGCCTTCCGGGCCTGCCCGGGTCACAACCCCTGCAGACCGCCCCCCCTCCGGCCCCCACTGGTTCAGGAGCCGGTTCCGGCCCGCGGGGGGCTGAGGCCCGGCGCCCAGCCAGATGGTTGTGAGATAGCTTTGCTCTGAGCCTTTCATGGTAATGAATGGAAAACAAGGAGAAAAGAAACTGCTGATATTAATGCGTAGGCCTCAGCAGCTTAAAATAACCAAGACAGAAACCCAGAAACCGCCTGGCAGCTGGGCCGAGGAGCGCTCAGCGCTGTCAGTTGTGAAGGGAAAACATTAAAGAGCAGAAACGGTGGAAACAGCATCAAAGACGCCCGGTGTCTGCAGGCAGAGCGAGGGAGCCGCCAGCGGGCGGCTTCGTTCAGAACAAAGGGCCGCTCCCTCCCCGTGTGGGAGGCTGGAGGGCCCAGGTCTCTGCCCGCCAGGCTACCCGGCCCCTCGGAGGGCTGGGACGGGGTGGGAGGGCTCCGCGGAGGCCGGGGCTGGGGCCGAGCCAGGCTCAGGGTCACCAGGCGTCCACAGCAGGGAGCCAGCTGCTTCAGCGTGGCCAGCCTCTGTCCAGGGCTCTGCAGCTTGTCCCCAGGGGCTGGGCCCTGCGCTAGGGCTGAGGGGCTGTGGGGGAGGGAGGGTGTGAGGCCCGGGGAGGGTCTCCTCACCACGCCAGCAGCCCCCTCCTGTGACTTTATCTGCAGGAGCTTGGGCATGTGTCCCCAGGGGCCAAAAGCCGGGGTGACGGAGTCCCTCCTGCCCACCTCCCTGCTCTCTGCTCTGTCCGCCCCTCCCCGCCCTCCTGTCTCCCCCTCTTTACTCGGCTGCCTCCTGCTGACCCCTCCCCCGCCCAGTCCTCCTTCCTCCTGACTCCTCCCACCCCCCCATAACTCCTCCCCTCATGGGACAGTGGGCTGGGGGACATAGACCGGAGGCTGAAAGGGGCACTGGGCACTGGAGGTTCGGGTTGGCAGGAGGTTTGGGGGGGGCTGGGCAGGGGGGACCCAGAGATGTGAAAGGAGGTGGGGACCTGGAAGAGCCCCACCCGCCTGGGGTGGCAGGACCAGCAGGGTGACTGGGGGCGGGGGGGGGGGGGGCGGGGGGAGCATGGCACAGGCAGGACAGGGACAGGAGGCCTAGGGCATCTCGGGGTGATGCATGCCAAGATCAGCCCCCACCGCTTATCAGCACACTGTCCCCCCAGCAAACCCCACGATCCCACTGTGCCCTCACACACGCTGTCCCCATCACTCTGCCCCCTCACCATCCTCGTTAGGAATAGGACAGGGGCCCTGGCTGGAGAAAGGTGGGGAGGTCGGGGGCTCCATCAGCCCCGGGTCCCGTGTCCCCTGCTGGCTGGCCCTCCCCACCCCGCCCCGTGCCCTGGCTTCACCCTCAGGGGAGGAAGGTGGCATCTGGGGTCACAGCAGGCTGGCGCCCCCTCTCCCTCGCCTCTCCAATAAGCAGGTCTGGGCGGGGTGGCCAGCTCTGCGTGGTGTCCCCTGGAGAAGGGGCGCTGCCCTCAGGCCGTCCGGGGCTGCTGAGGGGGTGAGAACTGACGGAGCGGACCCTACTCTTGGGTCCACTTATTAACTAACCTTATTAAGCACCAGTTTCCTCAGCGGCCCCTCGGCGCAAGCCCCGTCCATCGCGCAGCCCGACGCCGGCACCGGCACACCCGCCCGTCTGTCCAGGGCCCTCCCAGGGACTCCGTCGGGGTGTGTGTTTGCTGTACCCGTGCCGGGCCCTCCCCACGGGGCCCCTGCGGGTCCTCGCCATGCCCCTGCCCTCCGCCTGGGTGGCTCCGTGTTTCTGTGGTGCACGGAGTGAGAGTGGCCTGCGGGACGGCCCGGGGCCGGGAGCACTGTATCCGCCAGCACGCGTGTCCGCGCTCCTTCCCGGAGAGCAGAGGCGGGCGCGGTGGGGGCCCAGCGGCCGCCGGCCCTTCCTGTGGGCTGTGGCGCTGGTGCTGTGGGCACAGCGTGTGCGGTGTCGGTGTCACGCCAGCCTTTAGCACGGCAGTGGTCCCGCGGGCGCTGCTGCTGCTGCATGCTCCTGCCCGCTTTATCTGCCATCTGCGGGGCCCAGGCTCTCCGCAGGGCGGCACCCCTTCCTCTGGCCCGAGGGTCCCGGGGGCCGGAGAGGTGCCCGCGGGACTCCCAGCCTCCGGCTTTGGGGACGGGCGGGCGCTTTAGAGTTTCCAAGGCGCCAGCCCCAAGGTGACGCCACACACACACACACACACACACACACACACACACACACACACGACAGCAGGCGGAGGGGAACATGAGCCAGCACAGATGGAAAGTGGGGGAGAGGGGAACCCCCAAGCTCTCCGGAGGCAGTTTCCATTCACAGAGAAACACAGGAAGCAGGAGGATCATCCCGAAACTGCTTCTGAGGACACGGGTGGGGTGATGTCAGGGACCCTGTCCCCGGGTGCCGTTCCCACCGGGCGGGGCGGGGCCCGCCGCTGGCCGGCAGAGGCACAGAGCCTTCTGAGGTCGGAACAGGAAATGGTTAATAGTGTTTGCAAATAAAAACTTTCTGTTCTAGCCTGTTTTTGAAGCATTTCCCAGAAGTTAAAAGAAGGTGCCTAACTTGTCGGTACAATTCAAGGACCAGTTGTTAAGGGTTAGAAATTCTTCATCACCGCTTAGGAAGCACCAGCTTACCACTGCAGAACATTTCAAACCACCCTCTGACAGCTCCCTCCTCCCTCCTCCCCACGTGCTTGATAAAGAACTTTCCAAGTAAAGTTCTCTTCTCTCTTCTGTATACAGTTCTCTTCTCTCTTCCGTATAAAACTTTGGGAAGTAAAGGCGTTTGCTGTAAACTGCTGCCCACAGCTGGGGGTCCTTCAGTTCACAGGCTGACGCTCTATCCCCTGGGCCAAAACAGCCAGGGCATATCGGCTCCATTCTTAATTTCACACTTTTTGAAGAAGACATTGGTCTTGAAGTTATAGAAGGCTTCACCCACAATATCTGTATCTTTCGTCTCTCTGGAGGCAGGTCCTTTGAACTGATGGCGACAGTGCCGTGTTCCCAATGAGTTTGGGGTTTGAGAGAAGAGTGAGAAGCCAGCATCTTGGTGGCCCCTTAGTTTCAACCCAGATGAACAAGAACCAAATTTAATTTTAATTTTTAAAAATCCTCACCTGAGGATATGCTTGTTGATTTTTTTCTTTTGAGAGAGAGAGAGAGAGAAAGAGAGAGAGAGAGAGAGAGAAAGAGAGAGAGAGAGAGAGAGAGAGAGAGAGAGAGAGAGAGAGAGAGAGAGAGAAACAGTGATGTGAGAGAGAACATCAATTGGTTGCCTTCTGTTCATGTCCCAACCTGGGATCCAACTGGCAACCATTAAAGTACTTGGGATGATGCCCCAACCAGCTGAGCCACACCAGCCAAGGCAAGAACCACATTAAAAAATTTTTTTAAATACTTTTCACCCTCTACCATGCACAAGAATAAGACAGCCACGTGCCTGTTTGTTAAGGTGGTGGGGGTCACAAGAGATCCTCACTCCCCCCCCCCTTATTTTCTGAACTTTCTAGAATGCTGTTAGTAGTTTAAATGTGAATTAACAGTTTAAATTTTCAAATGCGTGTGTTTGCGATATACGTGTATATGTGTTTGTTTGCGATATACGTGTATATGTGTTAGGTGCTGCGTGGTGTATTAATGTGCAAGCCTGTGTGTGAGCATTCAGAAACCCAGGACTGCAGGATACCAGTTAACATGGCTATGATTGGTTGGCTAACACCTCCCAAACTCTCCCAAAACAGTGCTTAGGAAACTGGAGCTAGAAGTTTGTCTCTCTTTTTATTTATTTATTTATTATTATTTTAAAATATATTTTATTGATTTTTCACAGAGAAGAAGAGAGAGGGACAGAGAGTTAGAAACATTGATGAGAGAGAAACATCAATCAGCTGCCTCTTGCACATCCCCCACTGGGGTTGTGCCCGCAACCAAGGTACATCCCTTGACCGGAATCGAACCCGGGACCCTTCAGTCCTCAGGCCAATGCTCTATCCACTGAGCCAAACCGGTTTTGGCTGAGTTTCTCTTTTTATACCAGGGTTCTCTCCTGTTCACTAACTCAGAGGAAGGCAGCCTGGAGGGAGTATGGTGACTCCGACTGCCATCAAGGATCAGGGTCTTACCTTCCTGCTTCCTCAGCTCATGGCCCCCAGCCCCAAGGTGAGCCCGTGGTCTAGGGTGGCTGTGGGCGCCTCCATGGTCCCCGCCCCCCTGCACTGAGGACGGTGGGCATGGGGCTGGTCCCACCGACTACGTCTCTGCAGTCACAAGAGGAAACCTGCCTCCTGGCGGGCCGGCTGCCAGTTCCATGTCTCCCGCCGCTGCCCAGAGGAAAGGCCGCCCTGGCAGCTCCTCCAGCACCGAGGGGGCTTCACAAGAGTGTGTCAGCCCCGCCTCCACGTGGCCCTTGCCCTCAGCCATGGGTTCCCCCAAAGGTGGCCTTCCGTTGCCTCTCCTTTGCGTTTTCCAGCTCCTCCGCGCTCTGCCTGACCTCGACTCACTTTTCCTCGCTGTGCCTGGCACACCACCGCGCTCCTGAAGCCACACCGAAAAGGCGGGCAAGGCCAGACGCCCTCGCACAGAAAGCACCGAGGGTGTCTGGGGACGGCAGCCGAGTGGTGGGCCCGGCGGTCCCAGCGGCAGGGGGCTGGCTTCTCCTCGGCGCTCACCAACACTTCACACAGGTCCCCGAAGTGTGCACCGGTGCGTTCGGGCATTTTTACGTAAATGGTGCACATTTCCAGCCAATAAAACGTTTGAAAAAATTGGCAATGATACATATTCTAGAAAGTTCTTGGCAGCTTTGCCTATAATGACAAAGAGCCACGCCGGCAGGAGTAGAGGCGGGGCCGTGCGGGTTATGGCAGAGCCGGGCTGTGAGCAGGGGCCCCTGTCCAGCGTGCATGAAACGCAAGGCACAGCATGATCTGCTGGGTATGTTTTTCCCGTCTGTGAAGAACACACACGGACATTTGCACGCACATGTGCTTGGGAGCTCGCGCGGACGTCAGCGCGGGGAGCTCCGGTGACGGGGGATGGGCAATCTCCTCGCACTGGGTTGTTTTTCCTTTTTGTTTCCTTTTTTTTTCTTTTTTTCTTTCTAGAAATGAGAACTGTATTGCTGGCTTGCGTCATGAAAAATACTCAGGAGGATAAGAAAGCGGCCTGTCTCTCTGTGTCTGAGCCGAGCCGGTTGCCATGGAGACTGGACGGTTGTCAAGGCAGCTATTGGATGGGCAGGGGGGGCTGCGGTGCTTCCTGGGAGCCGGAGCTGGCACAGCCCGCAGTCTGCACTGCGGGGCCGGCGCCAGCATGGACGGGATGGACGTGTGGGTCAGCACCCTGGCCCAGCTGATGGCCAAGAGGAAGCCCGAGGACACCTGGGAGCTGGTCCTGGAGGAGAACCTGGCCTCGGGGCAGCTGGACAGCGGCAGTCACGAGTATCGGCTGAGGGGGCTCTCCAGGTTTGGTGGAGGGGAGGGGTCTCCTGCCGGCTTCCGCAAGGGGAGGGGGCCGAGGGTTGCTGGGCCACGGCCCTCGGCCGGCCCTGAGTCCTGAGCCGGGCTGGGTGTGACCTGGCTTCTGAGGGGTGGGCACAGGGGCATGTCTGGCCTGGTCCTGTCCCCCCATAGGTGGTGGGCTGGTGCTCGTGCTCCCTTCTGGAAAGGGGGGGACGTGCCTGCCCAGGCTGTTTCAGTGGCAGCCTCAGGCCCTGCTGCCTGGCCAGAGGGGGCCCCAGAGCCCGATGAGTGCCCTGTCCTGACCGGGCCGGTGGGATGACGCAGCTGCCCAGACAAGGAGGGCTTTGTCTGCTTCCCGAGGCCTCTCCTGGTTTCCATGGCAGCGCTGACTGGAGCAGGGGAGGGGCAGGGCCATGGCCACCGCCCAGCTCCACAGTGATCCAGGCGGGGGCACCAGGCAGCTGAGGAGGACACGGACACAGCACAGCCCAAGACAAGGAGCACACGTGCCCAGCCTGGGCTGTGGGCGGCGGGAGCCCGGTGGTCATGGGTCACTACGCCAACCTCCACCTTCAGGGCCATGACGGCAGCTGTGTCCGTACAGCCGCCGACCCAGACCGGGATCCCCCCTCGCCAGGCACCCGGAGGAGGCCAAGCTGTGGCGGGATGCTGGCTTTCCCGGGCCTAAGAGACACCCGCACACACGTGCCGCTCCCGCAGCCAGCGTGGAGAGCGGCTTCCAGCAGGCAGGTGGTGGGCGGTCACACACCGCGCTCTGCAGCGGGTCCCCGGCCGCCTGCAGCCCGGAGGCGTCGCTAATCAATGCAGGTGAAGGACGCTCAGCTCCGGGCACACTCTCCGCCTGCGGGCGTCCCCGGCCGCTCGTGAAAAGGTGCCGAGCAATGCCGCCGTCACGGAAAGTTCCACCGATGCCCGGAGGGAACATGCAAGAGACCTCACACGAGAGCGGGTTCCCACACCTGCCTGCATGTGCCTCACCGGGGTCACCCGCCCCGCCCGGCCCCAGGGGCACACCAGCCCCTTCACCATCCAGGGGACCACGCATTCTGGGGAGGGGGGAGAGGGCAGGTCCCCTACTCACATGCTCAAAGCCAGTGCCACACGGGTGCAGGGTGCACCCCGCCATTCAGAACCTCTGCTCCTCCCTCTGCCCACCCTTCGCTGCCTCCTGCACTGTCCCCACCACCCACACAGCCCCCGACTTTATCCCCCCGCCCCCCACCTTCCTTCCCGGGTGGGCTCCTCCCTCCACAGACCCACTGCCCAGACCTGCCCTCGCCAGGACCTGCAGGGCTGCCTTTGGCGTTTGGTATCATTTCTTCAGGGTGATGAGGCCCCGGGTCACACAGCGACAGAAAAGCAGCAGGGTGGCCCCTCACAGGTCAGGCCAGGCTTGGCCACCCAGCGGTGCCGATCGGATGGAAGGGGCTTGCTTTTCAGTCCGTGGGTTGCAGGCAGGGGCTCAGGTTCCTGGAGCTCACGCTGGGACCCTCTCGGGGCGGACAGGGCTGAGGGCTGTGGGGCACAGGGGCAGGTCCCCGTCCCCTCCACTCACTCCTGCCTCTCCCTCCCTCTCCCCCAGGCTCCAGTGCAGCCGCTGCCAGTGGGGCTGGTCCTCTGCCCACGTGCACAGCCTATTCCACGTGCGATGGGACAAGGACCGCCGCCTGGGGCTGGTGAAGATGCGGATCTGGGCCCAGGCGTGCCAGCTGTGCCCGCCGGCCGCCCGGGGCGCCTGCCAGGTGAGCCTGCTGAACGTGCGGCTCTTCCTCAACAAGCTGGTCCTGTTCGTCCTGCAGCAGTGCTACCAGGAGAGCATCAGCTCCGACCAGTGCCCCGAGGTCTGCTTCGGGGACCACTGTGAGGCCTGCGACCTGGGCGTCTGCTTCTTCCAGAAGCCTCCGGACCCCGCCTGGGAGCCGGGGACCAGGAGCCCCAGCGCCGTCCAGGCCATGCCAGCCCTGGGCGGCGGCGCCGTGGCCAGCCGTGCCTGGGACTTCATCCCCCCGTCTGCGTCCGAGCCCCTCTCTGAGAGCTGCCGCTTCTTCAGCGAGGACGCGGACATCGTCACCGTCCCCTTCACCCTGGCCAGTGTGGGGAAGGACAAGGGCTCCGCTGGCCCCGGAGAGGGCTCCCCCGGCGAGGCCGGCCCCCAGGGGCTCCTGATCATCGACGGTGGCGGCTCCGCCGACCAGCCTGCCAGCCTCGGGGCCTTGCCCACCAGCGTGAGCATCCTGGTCAACATCAAGACCCCCGTCCTCCACGGCAAAGGCCACCTGCTCAAGAGCATCAAGTCCTTCCAGGTCAAAGGCTTCATCTTCAAGGGCTGTGGCTCCCTTTTGGGCCAAGCCCCAGGCCCGGGCGCCGATCCCAGCAGCGACAGCGCACCCGCCGGAGACGCCACCGTGCCCGTGTCCTACGTCCTGGGCCTCACGGAGAAGGGCGAGGGCTCCGTCACCTTCCCCTTGTCCTTGGCCAATGTCACCCAGGGCCCCAGCCCCCTCCTGGACCTCCACAGCTCCCTGACCTTCCCCTTCGTCATTTCCGACCAGAGCAAGGGCGGGGCAGAGCGCGGCTCCGACCCTGCCCCCAGCCCCGCCTCCTCGGGGAGCCGGGGCTCCCTCATCATCCCCTCCTCCGTCTTCATGAAGCTCGGGGGGCCGCCAGGCAGCGGCTGCCGCAGGAGCAGGCACTGGGACAGGCACCGGCGCCGCCGGGCCCGGGGGCCTCGGTCCCGGCCCCGCCGGGGGGAGGACCACTTGGAGGCGGAGGACAACTGGTGCTGGCAGGGTCTGGATCCCTACGAAGATGTCTGGGTCTGGATGTGCATGATCTTCTTCGTCCTCTGGACCTTGTACCTGTGCTCGTCTTGATCGTCCCCACAGCGGCTCTCCCTCCGCAGGGCTGCCCAGACCCAAAGCAAAATGCGGCTCCCCACCTGCCCCCACTGCTCCCCCCCACCCCCCACCCCCCACCCCCACTCCCGACCCGAGCTGAGGCCTCCCAGTGCGCACAGCTGCTCCCTGGACCTCTTGCTTCTGTGTTCTCTCTCTTGACGTGACTCGAGCAGTGGTTCCACGATGCCCACGTGTGATGCCCACGTGTGATCATGCCCCTGTGTGATCCCCAGCTGTTCCTG